GCGTTTGGTTATTGTGTCGCGCTCAGTAACGACATGCGCACCCGCTCTCTCTTGTGCTGCGCTAACCTGATTGAATATATCCGTTCTTTGCCTCCGGGTTACCGGCTCTCGTGAGCTTGCTTTTTGCTGCAAACAAGAAATTCATGCTATCCCCTCATAACATAGTGTTCATTTGTTAATTTTGTTTTTATTTCTTCCTGCTTCCAGGTTTCATGGGCAAGCTGTTTGGCGGCGCGAGCAGGCGGTTCCTATGGTCGCCTGAGATGTGCCGCGAGCTGTCATGCAAGTCGGACAGCGCCTGTAATCCCCTCATTTATTCAATTCATTTTGTTGCTTCCCACCCCGTTTCCAGATCTGATGAGCAAACTGTTCGGCGCGAGTAGGCGGTTTCTGTAAGACCAAAGGCTATTATAATGGAGTTACAAGGCTTTTATAATAAATCCCAATACAAGATGAAGCTCTAGCTAGCTCCCAATAGCCTTTGAGATGCCAATCTTCTTGAAGGAGTTGTTGAAATAGCTTGAGAGAATTGTGTAGGAAGGCTTGTGAGAGAGCCCAAAATGACTTAGAGAAACAATCTCATTTTCAATTGTTTAGTTGGAGTGGGAGGTTGAGAATGAGCTTGCTTAGCTCAGACTCCCTCAATACACCCCTTGGGGAACTATCCCAACCATGGTTTCCATGGTGGGATGGTTCCTAGGCTTGGAGCCTATGTGGCAATTGTGTTGGGTTGGAAAACCCAACTTAGAACCATTCAATGGTTGTGTTTAGGATAGAGTAGATTGTAACACTTGTTTGACAGTTTCTGATTGGTTGGAATTCCAACCTTCAACATTCTCTTGGTTGAGTTGGAATTGTTCCAAACCTCCAAAGTTGAGGCTTGGCAAACCCAAACCAAGTTTCATCCCAACCTACTCAACCATCTTCTCCAACTCTTCCTTTGTCGAGAGAAGTTCTCAACAATTGACTTAGAGAGAGATCGATGGTTGTTAGCTCGGTAGTTAGGGTAATACGTTACACTCCTCCCCCCCCAGGTGGCAACGTCCCCGTTGCCCTAGGGTGCTTCTGAGAACGAGTGCTTCGAGCACGGCGCACCACATTACGACCAGGGTCAACCCCGTCCACTGGTTGTGGGCCTGCTCGTAGAGCCAGGTCTTCCATATACGCTTGAACCGCTGCTTCGGTCAAGTGTTCCTCAGGCTCCCAAGAGTTGTGTTCCGGCCCATAGCCTTTCCACTGAATTAGGAACTCACGAACAGTTTTGCGGCCGCGTTGTCGATCACGGTGCGTTAGCACACGATCGACTTCGTAAAAGAGTTCCTCCTCGAGAGCGATGGTTGGTGGCGGTAAGTACTAGCCTTCTGCAACGTACTTATTCAACAGAAACACGTGGAAGACGTTGTGAATCTGCAATGCCGCAGGCAATTTGAGCCTATATGCGACCTCACCAACACGCGCGATCACCTTGAAGGGCCCAATCCAACGAGGGAAAAGCTTTCGTGCTCCCGGGATCTTGAGACGAATGTTCTTCATACTCAGTAATACTTTGTCGCCAACTGCAAAAACGACTTCACGGCGTTTCATGTCGGCATAGGACTTTTGCCTCTGTTGGGCAAGCTGCAGCCAATGGCGAGCAGACTTCAATGCCGCTTGCTGATTTTCAATAAAGTCCTTTGCGGCAGGGATTTTGAGGTTCTTAATCCCATGCATCGCGGGGGTTGTGGGGTGCCGACCACAGTTCAGGACAAAGGGTTTCTCATAGGTGCTTTCATGCACAGAATTGTTTACAGCGAATTCCACGACTGGCAACAATTCATCCCAATCGTCCTGAGTTGGGCTTATGAAAGAACGAAGCATTTGCTCAAGAGTGCGGTTGGTCCGCTGTGTCTGTCCATCCGTTTGCGGGTGGAACACAGACGACATCTTGAGTTTCGTTCCGAGTGTCTTAATGACCTCTTGCCAGAACCGGCTTGTGAAGCGCGGGTCTCGGTCAGACACCATCACACGAGGCAAACCGTGTACGCGGAAAACGTGCGTCACGAACAACTTTGCAGTATCCTCTGCGGACACGTCAGTCGTCGTGGGCACGAAGTGCACCATTTTGGTCAAGCGATCTACAAACACTAGTATCGTTGTGTGACCATCTCGCGTCTTGGGGAGATCGGTGATAAAATCCATCGATACACTCTCCCAAGGTTCATCGGGAATCTCGAATGGTTGAAGCAAACCACCAGGCTTCTGTGTGCTTGGCTTGTGCCACGCACACGTGTCACAGCGAGTTACAAAATGCTGGACCTCAATGCCCAATCCCGGCCACCAGTATACATCACTGAGGGCCCACCGGATTTTCTTGACACCCAGGTGTCCTCCATACTTAGTGGCGTGCACCTCTGCTAGAATATCATTCCGCAGGTTTCCCACATGTGGGACAACAATTTCTTTCTTGTGCCACCAGAGCTCATGCTCCCACAAGAGATCCTTTGTATTCTGTGGGTTTCGAAACCAAGGGTCAATATCATACCCTACGCGAACGCGTTTCAGAAAACCACCAAAGGCAATCTCACTCACTCGAGCAGCTGCGAGGATGTTGAAACAAGTAGCAAACACTGCTTCATGTTCAGTATTATCAACACCCGTTGCTGCACCAATCAGCTGTCTGCTCAGAGGATCAGCCATTTTCGTCGAGCCCGCTCGATATCGAATATCATAGGTGAAGCCACTAAGGAGTTCAGCGCATCGAGCTTGACGACGGGTGAGTGTGGCTTGAGTGGCAAAATAGGTGTTCGGACAGTGGTCGGTCGTGACCACAAAGTCAACACCTTCGAGATAACATCTCCATGTTCGTAGCGCATGCACAACTGCCAACAATTCTTGTTCGGAAGTTGTATAGCGCTGTTCAGCTGGTGAAAGCTTTCTACTCTCAAATGCCACGGGGCGTCCTTCTTGCAAAAGAACTGCTCCAATCCCTACTGTCGAGGCATCAATTACCACCTCGTAGGGCTTGGACGGGTCTGGCAAAGCCAGCACTGGAGCATTGGTCAGCATGGTTTTCACCTCCTCAAATGCCTTCTGGCATTGATCGGTCCACTGCCAAGCATTACCCTTACGAGTGAGGGCAGTCAGTGGAGCGACTACGGAGGAATAATTTTCCAAGAAACGGCGAAAATAGTTCACAAGTTCAAGAAATGATCTGACCTGTCCCACGTCCTGTGGAACGCGCCACTGTTGGACTGCCGCCACTTTCTTTGGATCGACTTTGAGGCCATCGTTGCCTACCAAGTGACCAAGGTATTCCAACTCGCGTTTGTAGATGTGACACTTCCACAATCGAGCAAAGAATTTATGCTCTCGCAGTTTTCCTAACACCCATTTCAGGTGTTGCGTGTGTTCTTCTTCAATCTTCGAGTACATGAGGATGCCATCCAAGTATACCAGGACAAATTGGCCAATTGCTTCCCGAAACACATCATTCATTGCTCGCTGAAATGACGCGGGAGCATTTGTCAAGCCAAAACTTAACACACGCCACTGAAAATGTCCGAACGGCGTTCTGAAAGTCGTTTATGGAACATCTTCTTCGGTGATTCGTAGCTGATGATACCCCTGAGCTAAGTCCAGCGCACTGAACCATTGAGCTCCTTGGAGCCGATCGAACAGATCCTCAATTCGTGGTAGAGGGTATCTGTTCTTCACCGTAATCTTGTTCAAGGCACGATAATCTACGCACATGCGTAATCCTCCGCCCTTCTTGTTAACGAACAAAATTGGTGCTCCGTAAGGGGATGCACTGGGTTCAATCCATCCTTTTCTAAGGTATTCCTAGATCTGTTGTTTGGCCTCTTCGTACTCAGCTAGACTGAGGCGATACAGAGGTCGAAAGGGTGGAACCTTTCGTGGTTCAACAGGGATGGTGTGACCCGCTGCGCGGTCAGGCGGAAGTCCATCAGGGATGGTTTCAAACACCTCCTTAAATTCCTCTGCCATAATCTGCATCTGAGGAGGGAAATTCTCAATTGCTGGCTCCGAGGCCTCAGCATTCTCAAGCTGTACCACGAACAGAGTATCAGCCGACTTAACAGAATGCCCGAACTGGTTGGCCAACACACACAGCATGCTGGGAAGTTCAGGTGTCTGTGTTTCAGTGGGCAAAGTATCATTGACTTGCCACTGGATTGCCTTTCCGTTCTTGTTGAACGAGACAATGTTGTACTGGAAGTCCAGAATGATTTCATTGGCTCGCAACCAATCCATGCCCAGGATGAGGTCGACACCTGACAAAAGTGGTAGGACATACACGCGAACTACTTCGCTATAGTCCTGTACATTCATGTCGATATGTGTCTGTCCTTTACTTGGAATGACACGATCGTCACCCAAGCGGATGGGACATGGCGGTCATACAACGAGGACGTTGCGTGTCGTAACCCAAGTTTCATCAACAAGGGAAACCGACGCGCCTGTATCGACGAGAATCCTTGCTTCGTCCCCATTCATGCGTCCAGATAACAGTAGATTCTGTTGGAATCTTGGATGGATGGGACAAGCGACAACAAGTTTAGGAGGTCGATAGTACACCCTAAATTTGTTGTGAGCACGTCCAAACCTTTGGGAGCTGGTCCACCAGACGTGGTGTCCTTTGTCCCATATTGCCATGATATGCCATTCGTGAAAGCGGCGGAATAACTCTCCTTTCACGATTCGAGTCACCAATCCCACTAACATGAGCGGATGCTCTTGGACACAACGGTCCACAATATCCATGATTCCTGGCAACTCGTTGAACGAGCAAGAGATCATTGAAAATTTATCTCTCAAGGATTCAATTGAGATGTTTTCAAGTGGGTATGATCGAGTTTTAAAAACAGATTTTTCATTAATAGAAGAGGCATACAAACAAACGATTTTGCATGATGCGAGCTTCTCTAGCTTTAGCAAATCCTCATCACGAAGGACATAAGCCTCATCTACTCGATCTCGCTCACCAACTAGGTACCCACCCCCTAGTTGGACTTCGGAAAATCCTTCGGGCCCGGAGGGCCAGAACCATCCGGCTTCTTGCCCTGGTTGGGCTTGCTAGAGTTCTTGATGGACTTCCTCCAACGGCAGTGATAGGACTTGTGCCCAAGCTTGCCACAGATGCGGCAGCCCGCCGGGGGCTTATCCTCATCCTGAGGATCCTTGGCAGGCACAGCATGGGCCCTCTTGGACTGAGTCCCAGAGGATTCCCCCTTCTGCTGATAGGGCCTCTTCCAAGAGCCACTGCCCCTGTGTGCCTGAGTCCTGTTACCACCCCCCCTAGGGCCTTCGGCACTAGGCTGCTGCTGAGCACGAGCGTGAGTCATGTACGCACGGAAATTCACATCCGTGTCAATGACCTGCTCCTTGCACTCCTTGTAGGTCCTCCACTGGTGCTCCCCACGCACAACATGCACACGCTTGATGTGCTCAGGGAGTCCCTTGAAGAACTGGTGGATGACCTCACTCTTAGGAAGAGCAGTCTTCAGCAGCGACAGAGTTTTCTCAAACTCCTTGGCGTACTCGCGTACAGGCTGGTCACCGCACTGGATGTTCTCCAGGCGGCTACGCACCTCGAGCGCCGGGGGCTGACTCAGGAATGCTGCCAGCATGGCAGCTTTGAACTCCTCCTAGCCAAAAGGATGGCCATTAGCCTCTGCGTGGCGCTTGTTGGCATACACCAACTTGCTCGCAGTGTCGTCTAGGGCAAGGGTCGCATCGACCACGCGAGCCTCGCTACGCACATTGTGGATGGACATGAAGTCCTCCGCAATGGAGAGCCAAGTCTCAACGTCAGTTTTGCCATGGACAAAACGAGGCAGGGCCGAAGGGCAGGAGCCAAAAGCAGTTGCTGCTGCAGTAGGAGGCTCAGCACGTGCTCTAGTAGGAGGAGGAACAGCAGGAGGTGCATAAGCAGGTGCAGCACGGCTGTTAGCGGCGTTGGCAACTCGCTCTGCTGCAGGAGCAGGCTGGTAGAGGTTTCCACGCCGGATCTCCCTGTACTGAGTCTGAAGCACAGAGATGTGTTTCTCTTGCTTCTTGAGCTGATCTTGCACGAACTGGAGAGTGGTCTGCAGGTCCTGGATGAAGCTGGAGGTGTCATTTCCCTTTGGAATCGACTGCACCTCCCTGGTCAGCTTCTCAATCAAGGCCTGAAGCTTATCGGAATCAGCCTCCAAGTTCTGGATGCGGCAGTGCTGCTCTCCAATGAGAATGTTCTGCTCCGTGATTTGAGTCTGAAGTTTAACAGCGATGTCCTCGGTCTCATTAGAGACACCCTCAGCAGAGCCAGTCTCATCCTCATTGTCAGCATCAGCCTCAAGGTCAGCTTCACTTCCATTGATCTCCATGTCAACCACGAAGTCCTCAAGGTTGAGATCAATGTCAGCAGCAGGAGCAGCATTATCTCCTTCATTGCCAACAATAGGCACCTCCTTAGTAGCATCCATCTCTTGACCAGAAGCCATGAAATAGGTTAAGGAGATGAGATCTCAACATATCTTTTAACAATCTTTAAGAAATCTGATCACTCTTATATAATAATCAAATACAGAATCTCTTAAGATAGACTTGTTTGCGAAATCTCTCTATCACCTCAGTGATAGAGCAAGATATACTCAATAGAGTAATCTTCAACAAGTCCTTATAGATCTGAAGGTACACTCTTCTACCCAAGGTAGATCAAGAGTCTTCCACCAAAGGTGGGTAAGAGAAATTAATCTCTTCAAATTTCTTCTCTATGTTGATGAAGAAGAAGAAGCTCCTTGTAGATCTTGCACTCCAATGAAAAGTTGAAGTAGTTGTAGCTTGGAGTTTGTAGATCTTTGAAGAAGCTTTTGTAAATCTTCAAGAAACACTTGTGGATCTTGAAATTTCTTCAAAATCTTCACTGCTCCTTGGATAAAATTCGAGATCCACGAGCTAGGATCCTCTAAAAAAAAATAATCCAAGTAGCAAATGGCCACACAAGGCCAAGGAAGAACCTTGCTCTAGATACCAATGTAAAACCCAAGGCTGTTATAATGGAGTTACAAGGCTTTTATAATAAATCCCAATACAAGATGAAGCTCTAGCTAGCTCCCAATAGCTTTTGAGGTGCCAATCTTCTTGAAGGAGTTGTTGAAATAGCTTGAGAGAATTGTGTAGGAAGGCTTGTGAGAGAGCCCAAAATGACTTAGAGAAACAATCTCATTTTCAATTGTTTAGTTGGAGTGGGAGGTTGAGAATGAGCTTGCTTAGCTCAGACTCCCTCAATACACCCCTTGGGGAACTATCCCAACCATGGTTTCCATGGTGGGATGGTTCCTAGGCTTGGAGCCTATGTGACAATTGTGTTGGGTTGGAAAACCCAACTTAGAACCATTCAATGGTTGTGTTTAGGATAGAGTAGATTGTAACACTTGTTTGGCAGTTTCTGATTGGTTGGAACTCCAACCTTCAACATTCTCTTGGTTGAGTTGGAAATGTTCCAAACCTCCAAAGTTGAGGCTTGGCAAACCCAAACCAAGTTTCATCCCAACCAACTCAACCATCTTCTCCAACTCTTCCTTTGTTGAGAGAAGTTCTCAACAATTGACTTAGAGAGTGATCGATGGTCGTTAGCTCTGTAAGGAATTTTCCCGAATTCCTTATCGGGGTTGACTGCTTCGCGTACAACCCGATTTTCGGAGTTCGCACGTTCGGCCGATTTCAACGATGCCGAGGCTCCTCGCGTCGCCTTCGGCATTTCCATCACCGAACTTGCACCCAACCTCGCCTTCCGAGGCTTCCTCCTGGTTATGCTAGTCCTATATTATTCCGTGCATTCATTGTATTCTCAGATTCATTCAGTCACAGCCTCGTTATTCGTTTACCTGCGCACTCTCCTTTACAACTCATAACACCTGGTATCAGAGCTACTTTCCTAGTTCACCCCGCTTTTCCGAGGGTAGTTTGGTGGCATAGGGTGTGGCTGGTTTAGTGACTACACGACGGTTGGCTGCAGGGATTGTTAATTCAATCCTGCCCGACTCCGATAGTTCGTGTTTTCATTTGCCTGAAGGCCACGGAGACCCGACTGCCCACCAGACGTAGCGTTAGGCACATGGATCAGGAGGCAGTGAATAGGATGATGGCGCAAGTGGCAGAAATGCAGGAAAGCATGAAGTCGTTAATGGCGGAAGTGACGACACTGCGAGAGGAAAACGCCGAGCTACGCCAGACGCGAGGTGAAGCGCGTCAGGAGTCGCCTGTGGACGAAGGCGAGGGCAACAGTCACGCGATGAGCAATCCATTGGATGCGCTCACACGTGACTTCGAAGAGGAGGATAGGCAGCGAGCGGCAGCAGCACCAGTTGCAGTGACGACGATCAAAATCAAGCCCGTCAACCCACCTCCGTTTAATCCTACGGACAAAACGGTTACGGTAAAAGGGTGGCTGTTCGGGGTCGAAGTCTTCTTTACTGCAGCCGGAGTTGATGACGACGCCACGCGTATTAATTACGCAGTCTCCCTTCTTCGAGGTGCAGCGCTTGAGTGGTGGCGCCGAACCTTAGAAACAGGGACTTCGACAGGTGTGACACATGCGGCAAACGGGACCTCTACAGTGACTAATCAAGTGGCAACCTCGATCTTCGGAGTGACCACGATACGCACATGGAAGGAGTGGGGCGCAGCCTTACGAGGTCGCTTCGAGCACGTATCCGCCTCGGAGCAAGCTCGCATGAAGCTGCGTGCATGGTCGCAGATGGCTTCTGTCCAAGACTACACAGCGTCATTTATGAGCCTCGCCGACCAAGTTGATGACATGTCGGAAGCTGAACGGCTGGATAAAAATATCAGCGGCCTCAAATACGAGATACAGTACGAGGTTGGCAGGAGCCGTCCGACGTCATTTCTTGCAGCTGTACAGTTGGCGGAGTCCACGGATGCGCTGACGCAGTACGCGAGAGCAGCTTCCCGGGAGGGAAACCGTTTTTGTGGCTAGACCCATCGGACCACGATCAACGCCGTTCATACACCCAACCGCCCTCCTAAGGGACCGTGTTACCGGTGTGGGAAGACGGGTCACTACATGAAAGACTGCCACGAGAAAACGCCGCTGACGGGGAACGACAGGAAGGAGCAGGGAAATGGGAAGAGTCAGTAATTAGCGGGCCCTTTACTGACTGTGCTCCGTCGCCCGAACCCCACCATCCCCACCGAGTCGTGGTTCCGATTCATGCAATCAATCGCACTCGGCCGAATAACGGGGATAATCATGTGGATCACCCTGTGCTGGTCGCTGGCAAGGTGTTAAAAAATAATTTGAAAATATTCGTCGATGGGGGGGCCAGCCATAGCCTCTTCAATCTGGCGAGCGCAAAAAAATGCAAGCTGCAACTTGACAGGTGTCTGCCCGAAATCAACGCTTGCCTCGTGGATGGGACGCCTCTGGCGATAACGGAAGAAACACGGACGGTCAGGATCGAATGCGGCGACGATTTCGGCTTCAGCATGAAGTTCCTCGCGACAACGCTGGACGGCTGCGACGTACTGCTGGGACGCGATTGGCTGCGACGGTACAACCCCGTCATCGACTGGACAACGGGAACGTACAGCATCAACAGGCACGAGGGGCTAATTACGTTGCCTGCATGGACACCTGACTACATCCAAGCCCCGTGCGTCAAAGCAATCACTATAGCTCGCCACTTCAACAGGGGCGCGCAGCTGTTCGCCGTTTGTCTACGCGAGTTGGCAGTCGACACCGACGGAAAAGACATCGAGAAGCTCTGTGCAGCTGTACCACCGGATTTAGCGGAGCTGATTCGGAGGTACCCGGAAATCTTCCCCGACGACCTGCCACCTGGACTGCCACCGGAGAGACCTGAGGACCACAAAATCCAGCTGGAACCTGGAGCGCAACCAACTGTTCGGACACAGTGGCGGTTGACTCAGCCGGAACTCGAGGAGCTACGACGACAAATCGACGCACTGTTGGAGAAAGGGTTCATTCGGGCCAGCACATCTCCCTTCGCGGCACCAATTCTGTTCACTCCGAAGAAAGACGGCGGGCTTCGCATGTGTATCGACTATCGTGCGCTGAACAGGGTCACCATCAAGTCTCGCTATCCAATCCCACGCACTGACGATCTACTCGACCAACTTCGTGGCGCTCGCTACTTCTCGAAAATTGACTTACGTGGCGGTTACCATCAAATACGAGTCTTCGCCGACGATTGTCACAAGACTGCGTTTCGCACACGCTACGGGAGTTACGAATTTACAGTGATGCCTTTCGGCCTCATGAACGCGCCTTCGACTTTCCAACTGACCATGAACAGGGTTTTTCGGGACCTTCTAGACCGATGCGTCATCGTCTATTTGGACGATATCCTCATTTTTAGCAAGACAAGGGAGCAGCACCTCCGTGACCTGGACGCAGTGTTTACGCGGCTGCAGGAGAATCGACTCATCACCAAGGGCTCTAAGTGCGAGTTTTTTAAGCAAGAGTTGGAGTTTTTGGGGCACGTCATCTCGCGCGACGGCATTAAAATCGACCCGGCGAAAATCAAGACCATACAGGAGTGGAATTCCCCGACGAACGTCACGGAACTTCAGAGTTTCCTCGGATTTGTGAATTACGTCCGGCGTTTTATCCCGAATATGGCGGGGATAACCGGCCCGCTGACCGACCTGCTGCACAAGGACTGGAATTTTGTATGGGGGGAGGAGGCAGAAGCGGCTTTCCAGGAACTCAAGAATTTTCTCGTGTCCCCTCCTGTGCTGCGCATCGCCGACCCATCGAAGCCGTTCGAAGTCGTAACCGACGCCTCAGATTTCGCCATCGGAGCTGTACTTCTCCAAGATTTCGGGAACGGGTTGCAGCCGATCGCCTACGAATCACAGAAGCTGCAGGCAGCCGAACGCAACTACCCAATCCACGACAAGGAGATGCTCGCCATTATACACGCATTTAAACTATGTCGATGCTACCTGGTGGGCGCCGACGTCACTGTTCGCACAGACCATAAGTCCCTACAGTACCTGCGAGCCCAACCCAACCTCAACCCACGCCAGATTCGATGGCTCGACTACATGGAGAGCCATTTCACCTACCGCATCACGTACAAAAAAGGGGCGAATAACATCGCCGACGCCCTCACCCGACCGACAGTACAATCCGCTGCAGTACTCATCACCCATTCGAACCCGCTACTTACAGGACTATTGACCCACGGCTACTCTACGGACCCATTCTTCACGACCGGGAATCATCAGCAGGCCACGACGCAGAAAGGGGATTATTACCTAAAAGCCGGAACCGACCGGATTTGGGTCCCCGCTTACCGGCTGCTGCGTGAACTTCTCATCCAGGAGGTCCACGATTCGAACTTCTCCGGACACTTTGGGGTTGATAAAACCCAAAAATTACTGCACCGTCGATATTATTGGCCTGACTCCTCTAACGACGTGCAGCGATATGTGTCCTCATGCAGGGTGTGCCAAGCTATGAAATCGACGCGCCAACGGCCAGCTGGGCTGCTGCAACCCCTCGAGCCACCCGAACGACCATGGCAGCAAGTGACAATGGATTTCGTCACGGGGATGCCAGCTGGGCCGACGGGCAACGACGCTGTTCTCGTCGTCGTCGACCGCTTCACGAAAATGGCACACTTCGCACCATGCCGCACGACAATCACAGCCGAAGAAACTGCGCGATTTTTCATCTCGACGGTCGTGCGACTACACGGCATTCCTTCGGCGATCATCAGCGACCGCGACCCAAAATCCACATCCAAGTTCTGGAAGGAGACGTGGGCGCAATACGGCACGAAGCTACAGTTCTCATCGGCTTACCACCCGCAAACCGATGGTCAAACCGAGCGGACCAACCAGACCATGGAGCAGTTAATCAGGACAAACTGCCCCGACCCCGCCCGCTGGGAAGACTCTCTCGCGATGTTGGAGTTCGCTTTCAACAACGCACCATCAAGCACGACTAATCACTCCCCGTTTTTCTTGAATTACGGGATGGACCCGACGGTTCCCAACGCGACTACTCTCGACAATCCAGTCCCCCGGTCACAAACTTTTGTGACAGAACTACAGGAAACCCGAGAAAAAGCCGCCGACGCAATCCGCAAGGCGAATATCACCTCCCGCAAATACACGGATCTTCTACGCTGGGAACTCGTCTTGACCACTGGGCAATTAGTACTACTTGACACGAAGAACCTGCACCTGCCCGGCCCGTCGAAATTACGGCCACGATTTTGCGGACCGTTCAAGATTATCAAAATGGTGACACCTGTCACCGCGAAGTTGTTGCTACCCGACGACTGGCGAATTCATGACACCTTCCACGTCAGCCTCCTTCGAAAATACGTGCCAGTCACGACAGACATCGCACGTCAACAAGCTGCCCCAACAGCACGGCCTGTTCCGGAGCCGACACTCGACCCTTCGAAAATCCTGGCCCATCGGGTTCGACTTGACGCAGCTGGCCGACACGTGGATTTCCTGATTCGTTGGATTGATCGCACCAGTGAGGATGACACATGGGTGCCTTACGCCTCGCTCGATGCCTCGCCACTTGTTGGTGATTACTTGGCGCGCAGGCGTGTTGCAGACATTGACCGCCTTTCTTAGAGGGGGGGGTAGTGTAAGGAATTTTCCCGAATTCCTTATCGGGGTTGACTGCTTCGCGTACAACCCGATTTTCGGAGTTCGCACGTTCGGCCGATTTCAACGATGCCGAGGCTCCTCGCGTCGCCTTCGGCATTTCCATCACCGAACTTGCACCCAACCTCGCCTTCCGAGGTTTCCTCCTGGTTAGGCTAGTCCTATATTATTCCGTGCATTCATTGTATTCTCAGATTCATTCAGTCACAGCCTCGTTATTCGTTTACCTGCGCACTCTCCTTTACAACTCATAACAAGCTCGGTAGTTAGGGTAATACGTTACAGTTTCTGTGGTCCCCTGAAATGCGTCGCCAGCTGTCGTGCAAGTCGGACTGCGAGGCGAAGAACAAGGAGTGCAACGAGTCGTACAGCGAGTGCAAGCGCGAGAACAAGGACGACGAGCACAAGCACCACAAGTGCACGCACACGTACAAAAAGTGCAAGAGAAAAGCCAAGAAGTGCTGCTCCAACTGCGATTAGAGGAGGGGCGATGCAGGTGTGAGAACGGGGTACTGTGCTCGAGTGGGCCACTGCGCATCATACAGTATTTGGTTGGAGGAAAGTACGCAATCTTCAAATATTTTGACGGATTATCAAGCACCCTAGGTATAGGAATGCTACCGTATTTTTGCTCTGCGTGTGGATACCGTAATAATTTTGCGATGCAGACGAGGAACAAAAATGTGCTCATAAGGGAAGGGTAACATATTGTGAATTTCAGATATGGTAGCTGGCACAAGTTGGCAACTACCACCGATACAACATAAGAAAAACACCTTTGCATGAAAACTGAAGTAAAGTTGAACTGAAGCAAGGATGTACACGTCATATGCTCAGCCCTCAAGCAGATGACAGCCCTTCGTTTGTCGGCTGCAGGCTGCAACTATATGAAGTGTCTACACTCATCCACACGAGGATTTGCATTCCTAACAACGACCAAGGTATTTTAATGTGTACAAACACCAGAAAAACATGCAGCAAAGCCTGATGGCTGAAGGTCCCTCGTGCCTCGTCAGGGCCCGAGAGCAGCAGGGCTTGAGAGCAGCCCATTCTATGCGCAGCTCTCCCAAAATATATCTGCCCAGACCTGAAACTCAACACTTGACCAAACCCTGAAATAGCTTCATATAATGTGCAGCCTTTCCTCGCACTATGCCCCACCCTTCACTTCACACTTCACCCCTGAACGCAGCTGCATCTCTACTGCAGCCCCTTAGCCCCTGCTGCATCTTCACAGCCTCCATGTGCTGTGCCTGCTGCCCAGAGCCCACTCTCTGCTGCTCCCTTCACTTCCAATCAAGGCCATGTTAGTAACCCAACTTGGCTTCACCTGCACTTTTTGAAGTGCCAGAAAATCAGCCTGCCGCCTCGCTGTGCCTGCACCACACACAATGCTGCATCCTTCACTTCCATTGAGATTGGTGCCAGTCGCCCACTATAGGTTTTGTCTGCCCCTTTTCTTTTGGGGCCTAAAAAAAAACCTGCTGCCTCCCCGCGCCTGCAGCCCACACTCTGGTGGCCCCACTCTGGTGGCCCCACTCTGCTGCACCGCTCACTTCCACTTGAGGTCGTGCCACTCGCCCACACTCGGCTTTGTCTGCCTCGCCTCCCCTTGCCCGCATTCCACCTTGATCTGAAACCCCAGCTGCCCCAATACCACATCCAACACTGTATCCCCATGCACATGCACATGTGCATGCGTGTGCCCGTGCCCGTGCCCATGCCCATGCCCATGCGCCTGTCCATGAGCATGGGCATGAGCATGCCCGTGTGCATGCCCATGCACATGCCCTGGCCCTGCTGCTGCTGCTGCCAGTGCTGCTCCTGCTGCTGCTGCTGCTGCTGCCAGTGCTGCTCCTGCTGCTATGCCTGCACCTGCTATTGCTGGCGCTGTTGCAGCAGCTGCAGTAGCAACAGCAGCGGCAAGACCATCACCAGCGCCACCAGCAGCACCAGCAGCAGCAGCAGCAGCAGCGGCAGCAGCAGCAGCACCAGCAGCACCAGCAGCACCAGCATCAGCAACACCACCAGCAGCTGCTCCTGCTCCTGCCACTACACCGCCCCCCCCTGCCTGGAACACATTCATCTGCCCTACACCACCCCCCCCTTCCTGGAATCCATTAATCTGCCCATCCCTTATCCCTGCAACACCAATTGCCTGCCTCTGCCACTGCCACTGCTCCACCACACCCCCTCCTGCCGCTCCTTCTGGAGCCACAGCACCAGCACCAGCAGCAGCAGCGGCGGCAGTGCCAGCAGCAGTGCCAGCAGTACCAGCAATGGCGGCACCCGCAAAATCAGGCCCGACACGCAGCTCACCCGCACCTGGCGCAGCGGCTTGGCCGGAGGTCACGGCTCGGTACGCCAGAACCATGCGCCTCGTCTCCTCCACCACCTCTGCATGGCCTTGTGGGCCCCATTGCTCCTGCGTGGGACCGACAGGGAGGAATCTTCCTGCTGCAGCATCCGCAGCAGCAGCAATACCAGCAGCAGCCGCAGGACCCGCAGCACCGTAAGCACCAGGAGCACCGTTAGCACCCGGAGCACCGTAAGCACCCGGAGCACCGTAAGCACCCGCAGCAGCGGCAGCATTGGCAGCACCATCAGCACCCGCAGCAGCGGCAGCATCGGCAGCACCTGTACCAGCAGCATTAGGTACAGCTGGTTGGGTTTGTTCAAATCCGATTTCTCTCTCTGCCACTCCCTGCCCCAGCTCCATAGGCCCAGCACCTACCTCCACTACCTCCCCTGCTGCTCCCACTGCCCCTGGTGCCTCTCCTGTCCCTGCTTCTTGTTGCAAGCCAGCATCTGCAGGCACTGCTACTACTGCTGTGCCGTCTGCCACTGCTGCTGTTTCCACAGCCGCCTCGCCTACAGCTGGTGCCACTGCAGCACCTGCTTCTTGTGCTGCAACAGCTGCTCCCTGTGCTGCTGCTGCTGCGACTGCTTCTTGGGCCGTCGCTGCTAGCATAACAGCTGCCAGTGCTGCTCTCTGCTCTCTCTGTGCAGCAACAGCAGCCGCAGCAAGACCCGCAGCAGCACCTGGTGGTGCCGGTGCCGCCGCCGCCGCTGCTGCTGCTGCTGCTGCTGCTGCTGCTGCCCCTGCTGTTTCTCCTGCTGCTGCCCCTGCTCCTGCCCCTGCCGCTTCCCCTGCTGCCGCCCCTGCTGCTCCTGCACCCCCTGCTTGGGCGGCGGCACCATCCGGTTGGGCAGCAGCGCCATCCGGTTGGGCGGCGGGGTCGACGTAGCGAGCGCGGGAGGTGACGGTGACGATGCAGTCGACAGACAGGTTGGTGTGCGTGAGGGTGCCTGGAAGGGCGAAGTGGCGTTGAAAAGTGGCATATACCGTCCTGAGAGGGACATGAGACATGGAGATAGAGAGTCAAAGGGGGATAGAGTGTCAGTGGGAAAGGTCCACAAACACGTTGGTGTGCGCGAGGGTGCCTGGCAGGGCGAAGTGGGGCTGAAACGTGGCGTATACAGTGCTGCCAAGACATGGTGAGAGGGAGCGGAACGGAGAGATTGGACGGGGAAATTAGGTGGGGGAAATTGGAGGAGACATGAGAGGAAGAGAGAGAGACAGTGAGGAAGAGAGAGAGACAGTGAGGGCGAGAGGTGACGGTGACAATACAGTCGACTCGACTGCCACGTTTGTGTGCGCGAGCGCGCGGGCTCCTGGCAGGCTGTAGTGATGCTGGAAGGTGGCGTACACAGTGCTGCAGAGAGAGAAGGATGAGAAGGGGGATTTGGAATGGAAAAGATAAGTGGGAGAGATGGTTGGTGTGAGCGAGGGCTCCTGGCAAGGCGAAGTGGCGCTGGAATGGAAGGTGGTGTACACAGTGCTGCAGAGGAAGACATGGGAGACGGGGATGCGACGGGGGGTAGGTGGGGGCTATTGGGAAGGGGAGAACTGGAAGGCGCTGGAAACGAGGGAGGGGACTCGAGCTTAGGGAAGGAGGAGGTTGTGGTATTGGAAGTGGAAAATGGAGGGGGGGATGAGAAGGGGAGAAAAGAAGGGGAGAAGAGTAGTTGGAGATGAAAAGAGATGAGAAGCAGAGATGACGAACAGAAAACAAGAAGTGGCTGGGCGAGCTGTTTCACTTCCACAAGCTGTAGGACCCGTAAGATAAATTGTTCTTGCTGCAGATGCTTGGCGTTCCTGTCGCCCCTGACGTTGATCCGCTCTTCAAAGCAATCCCGGCGGTGATTTGGCTTCCGGATGTCCAGAAGCCTTTGCTGATCAAAATCTCCACCCATTCGTGCGTCGTCTGTCCCAGTAATCACCGCACCCATGATCACAGCTGGAGTTGCCTGACAGTGGTAGTGAAAGGATTGGTGAGACTGTTCCTCCTGACAGTGGCGAGACAGCTGTGATCACGAGTGCGGTGGTTACTGAGATGGAAGACGCACGAATGGGTGAAAACGTTGATCAGCACAGGCTCCTGGACATGTGGAAGCTAGATCACCGCCGAAATTAATTCGAAGAGCAAATCAGCGTCAGGGGCGACAGGAACGCCAAAGATCCGCGGCAAAAACGATTCCTCATAAGGGTCGTACAGCTTGTGGAAGTGAAGCAGGTCGCTCAACCAATTATCATCTCGCTCGGTGCGGCGGCTACGGGAATCAGTAAAGCAGTGAAGCACGTTGCCCCCCCCCCCAAGCAGTACCCGGGTGTGGTAGGAATCATCAAACGGGCGTTCAGGGCTATCCCAAAGGAGAGGTGTGCCCCCCTCGGTGAACGACTGGGCAGTGAAATCTGCTGGGATCCACCAGCCACGGAAGATTCTCCGAGTCACCCTTCTTCGTCCTGATCGGCGTGAGCTTCGCCATTTTTAGGATAGAGCAGAGTAGGAAGGTGTTACCACCTGTGCGCGGAAGCTGTATTGAGGGCAAACACGGAAATCCTCCCGGTTCACGTGGATGGAGTCAGGATCGCCGGTTCATTCTCCGCAGGCCCAACTCTGGCTTCTTCGACTGCGGACATGCCCCTCCTGTGGTGACCGCCCTTCAAAATGTCACCTCCCGGCATTTCCACACTCAAGTCGAATCCGCCGCACCCGTGATCACTTCAATCAGAGCAAGGGAGGGGCGGAAGCAAGCAGTACTCTACCCGCCAATGGTGCTTTGCTCTGCAGTGGTCGCATTCAGCAGCATAGCAAAGCGATCTTTGCGAGCTGAGAGGTGGCATGCACGCCCGAGACACGGTGATAAGCAAGAGTGGGGAAACAAGCACCCTACCCGCCAATGGTGCTGTGCTGTGCTGTGCTGTGCTGTGCTGTGCTGTGCAGTGGCAGCGCTGAGCAACACAGGAAAGCACAGAAAAGCTGTCGTTGCGACCCTGAAGCGCCAAACACGACATCTGAAGCTTCTTATTGAGTAAATGGAAGGCACCCGAAGGGGAACGAGGCAGCACCCTACCCGCCAATGATGCTGCTCTGTGCGGTGGCAGCGTAGAGCAGCACAGCAAAGCACAGCAAGGCACAGTAAAGGCACGACTCAAAACAAGAGCGGGGCAGGAGGAAGAAAGCAAGTATCCTACCCGCCAATGATGCTGTTCTGTGAGGTGGCAGCGCTGAGCAGCACAGCAAAGCGGTCACCACCCGCCAATGGACCCTTCAGCACCACACACAACACCTGCATCTGACTTTTGAGTCACTCAACTCAAAAGTCACTTGGAGGGGAGGGAAGCACGAACCCTACCCGCCAATGATGCTGTTCTGTGAGGTGGCAGCGTTGAGCAGCACAGCAAAGCAGTCATCGCGCCCCCTGAGCGCCAGACACGACACCTGCAGCTCCCTGGCTGCGCGCTCCAACGCCCGCCTGCTCAGCCCAGGCTTGCCGTCCACCAGCACTGCGCCCACCTGCAAATCAAAAGTCGTTTGGATTGGATGTGGGAAAAGAGAATAGGAAAGGGCCCCTTAAGACCACTCACGAGTGTGCTCGGCCCGGCCCTGGCTTGCCGTCCACCAGCACTGCGCCCACCTGCATGGTGTGCTTGGAAGGGGGGAAGGGAGCAGGCCTGGCATGGCAGCTCAGCCAACTCACATCACATCCAGCCTGACAACGAATGCCTCGGGCTGCTGCAGGTGCTCCGGGTCACTGGCCCGCTCATGGGATGGGATGGGACCCAAGGGCTGGAGTCTAAACTAAATGAGGCCTACTCACATCACATCCACGTCTGGCAGCCTGAAGACGCACGACTCTGACTGCTGCAGTGCAGAGCACATGCTCCAGGTCGGCCGTTCGCACGGTTGATGCGAGAAAAGGAAAACAATCAATCAATCCGCTCAACTCAACTGCTCCGTATCCCCAAAACCAGCTGTGCTATTTCACCCACATCCACGTTTGGCAGCCTGAAGGCGAATGATTCCGGCTGCTGCAGGTGCTTCAGGTAGTTGGGTTGCGCACACTGATGCACCCCACCCAAGGGAAGATCGATCACATGGCTCAACACAACTGTTCCATAGCCCTGACAACCTGCTCTGAAGTTCCACTCCCATCCATGTCTGGCAGCCGGACCACGAACGATTCTGGCTGCTGCAGATGCTCCAGGTCGCTCGGCACACTGATGCGACGCGAGAAGAACAAATGCGAGTCCCAACCAAAAGCAGACTTGCATTCCAACTGAGTCAGCCCATGCTACTCACATTTATGTCTGGCAGCCTGAAGGCGAACGAGTCGGGCTGCTGCAGGTGCTCCAGGTCACTCGCCCCGTTAATGCGACGCGCGAAGATGGGCGAACCACGGTACGACACGTCAACAAGGAAGATGACGTCAGACACGAACTCGTCCACGTGGCCTGCTGGAATGGTGGACTGGACCTCCCCACAGGGCGTGTGGAGCAAACGGCAGAACCTGGGAGGTTTGGTGGGTTGGAGAGGTTTGGTGGGGTGGGGAGGAGTGCATGCGGATGCGGTGCAGGAGGAGAAAATGCAAAGGTATTATGACAGGTGTAATGAGAGAGAGGTTTGCTCTATCTATACACATGAACTCGGCATTTAAAGAGAGGTGGGTGGGGTATGGTGGGAAATAAAACGTGAACGCCTTTTCAGCCCTTGTAATGTAACCAACCACCACTCCCTCCCACGTACTCTCACCTCTTGTAACCACCACTCCCTCATACTCTCACCCCTTGTAACCACCACTCCCTCATACTCTCACCTCTTGTAACCACCACTCCCTCATACTCTCACCTCTTGTAACCACCACTCGCTCGTATTCTGGCTTCAAGGTCTGGAGCGTTAAGGCTGGGCCAGTGCACGATGCACACCAGATGCCACAGCATCTCGTCCTCACACGCCTGGCAGGGGGAGAGAGAGAGAGAGAGCACACAATGTGGCACAACACACGCACACACACAGCAAAGAACACACAGAACAGACACGCGACACATTTATGAAAAGTAGAAAAACTGACGCACAGCACAGCACATCAATACGCATGTTACAGAAAGGGGGAAAAAAAAAGGAGCGAAAAGCGGACGCTCAGGGCATGAAGTCACCAATAAAGCAGTCCTATAGCGTTAACAAGACATGAGCGTTCAGGCCATAGCACAAGGCACGAGCATGACCGTGTGCATGCACGCGCGCACGCATGTTTGTGTGTGAGAAGGAAAAAGGAATGTGGCAATGCGTGCATGAAACCGAGTGTGCGTGCGTGCATGTGGGCATGCATGCATGCGTGCGTGCGTGCGTGCGTGCGTGCGTGTGTGCGTGCGTGCGTGTGTGTATGCTTGAGTGCGCAACTAGGGAAATCGGAAAAAAAAATGCGACTTGCAACGCCACGAAAGTGCCTCATAGGCAGATGGCAGATGGCATGGTAGAGACATGCCAGGCCAGGGTAACCTTAACCTTCTCCCTCCCCCACGTCCCCTTCCTCCTCCTCCCTCTCCCCTCCCCCTCTCTCCCATCTCTTGCTATTCCCCCTTCTCCCCTTCTTCCCCCCACCCCCCCGTCTCTTCTCCTCCTCCCCATCCTTCTCACTGAAGACAACCCTAAGAGGAGCGCCTTACATGGCGGAAGGAGCGGCAGAGGCATGCGCGCGTGGCGAGGCCGCGCAGGGAGAGGCGGCCGCTCTGCAGGAGCAGATACACCACCGTGTGGTCCGTGCCGCACGCCACCTCCTCCTCCTCCCACCGCACCCGCTTCACCTCAAACCCCCCACCCGTTCCACCCACCCTTTTCCTCACCTCCCTTTTCCCTCCCTCCCATTTCCCCTTTCCCCGTTCCATCCCTCCCCTTTTCCCCCTTCCCTCCTCGCCTTCCTTACCTCACATCCCCCCAACTCCCATCACTCCCAGCTCCCAAAATAGAGGAAAAAGGGACCACAAACCCTGGAGAGCGTCTTACATGGCTGAAGGAGCGGCAGAGGCAGGCGAGCGTGGCAAGCCCGCGGGGGGAGAGGCGGCCGCTCTGCAGCAGCAGATACACCACCGTGTGCTCCGTGCCGCACGCCACCTCCTCCTCCTCCCACCGCACCCGCTTCGCCGCGCCGCCGCTCCCCTGCGCCTCCCCTCTCGCCGCCGCTGCTGACGCCGTCCAGAGGCCCGGGCGACCTGAGAACACCGAGGGGCAGGCAACGTGGAAGGCCTTTGAGACGACTCACAAGCCTGGACGGACGGCACCGTTCCTCCTGGGAACGCCCCTCTTGCCGCCGCTCTTGACGCCGTCCAGAGGCCCCGACGACCTGACGGAACCGAGGGGAGGCTAAGGGAAGCTTTAAGAAAATGGAAGCGAGAGCGGGATGAATGAGGTAACCCAACCTACGCGTACAATATTTGGGGAAAATGACCGATACTTCATTTTCGTTCCACCTACGTACGTACGCGTTCCCTTCTCGTCGTCGCTACCGACGCTGCCCAGAGGCCTGGGCCACCTGACGGCGTCGTGCAGGAGTCGTGGGAAACACGTGAAAACAACTGGAAACGCGTAACGAAAACGCGGAACGAAGCCGAAACGACGTCGGCGGCAAGTATTTCTCCTTCGCAACGCTAATCTCTGGACAATATTGACGAACGACGATACCCCAGTGACTTTTGAGCTGACTCAAGGGTCATCACCTGGTACGTCTCATTCGCAACGCTACTCTCTGGACAATAGTGACGACCGAAGAATGCTATCGCGAAACCTTAGAGTTCCTTCTGCCCGCGGAGTTACTCCTTCGAACGAATCCCGCATTTCGCTATTTTCCGGCGAGAAGTAGTGACGCACCATTGCGACCAGAAGAAACGGCCACGGATCTGACGAAGACACGTCAGCTAGCTATCCGTTGGGAACGCGAACAGCTCGAACGATAACTCGACGTAGGGTGACTGCAGTATCCAAAGTCCGAACTTGGAAACGACCATAACCGCCAGTATCATCGTAGGTCAAAGCCGGAACTACCTGCAGAAGCTGGCACAAGCACGATGTTACCCTAGTAATCAAGCACTAACCTGCACTAGCAGTCACATCACCCGACCTTCCAGTCACCGTCGAAATACCTGATCTGCGGGAACAGTCGTAACCCTAACCTGCAGTAGCGCTGGTGACGTGGCCGATTAGTCGCCGCACCAGCTGCCACATAGCGGCTGCGCAGAGGAGGACGGGGTGAAAGAGCGACAGAAGAATGGTGATCGGGGTCGCCAGCCAGATCCAACGGCTAGGAGCGAACGGAGCGGGAGGAGCGGTGTTCGGAAACGGAACGGCTGCGAGAGTCGCCGGCACAGCTGCGGGAGCAGGCGGATTCGTGCGACGCGTGATGCTCGCTTCTACGGTCGCGGCGCGAGGAACCGTGTCAGAAACCGGTTCAGGCGCTTCGGCTGCCGGCCCGAGAGACGAAGGCGCTGCGAGATGGCCGATGGCACCGTCAACGGCTGAGATGCGAGGGATTATCTGCGACGCAGTCGCTGGCTCTTCGGCGACGGCTCCGGGCGACGACGGAGCTGCGAGTTGCGTTCCGTCACCGTCAGCCGACGCGGTTCGCGGAAATATCTCGGGTACAGGCGACGCGGTGCGAGGAGGGATATCGGAAAGTGGCCCTGGCTCTTCGCCGCACGATACGACTGGAGCTGACGTGGAAGCGGACGGCGCCGTGGGATAAGTATCGATGGTACTAGAGGCGACAGCAGAGGTCACGTCCGTGATAGTGGTCTCATCAGCAAAAGGGGTTGTGACAGCAAGAGCAACAGCAGCAGAAGCAGCAAGAGAAGCAGCAGCGGCAGCAGCAGACGAGGACGCAGTAGCAGACGAGGACGCAGTAGCAGGAGGGGGAGCGGGAGCGAGACTGCAGGAGGCTGCGTGGAGAGGCGTTACGTCGGTTAGATGCATCCGAGCATGGAGAGACAGCGCGATCCACAGACCGCACCTACGGAGTTAACCTAAAAGTTTTCTCAAGCTCTATTCACAGAGCAAGACTTGATACGAGGGAAATTCGCAGCTTGCGTCTCGTCATAGTATGCTGAGAAAAAGGATCATCAACTCGTAGCGGCACATAAGCCAGCCTATATTATCCTACTCGGGTAGCCATGAACTGAACCGACGCGGAGCAAACCCGAGACTAGTGAGCCAACGGCATGATGTGATGGGAGCGCCTCCAGTCCAGGTCGTGCAGCGAACAGCAGAGACACAGAAGTTACCGAACAGGCGTGAATAGAACACCATACCATACCATGAACGTAGCTCTACTTGTGGCAGAGACACCTGCACCGAGGCCGATGGGAACTGGCAGATTCTAGAAAAGGATGGGGTGGAATGGGTAGAAAGCAAGCTTGAGGGCGTACACTTCTAAATGAATCTACAAGCGATCAGCGAACTTTGTACCCCTTTCTTGATTTGAAACGAGAGAATCGCGCCCTACGTTACAGACGAGAAGGCGATGTCGCAGCACTCGGATGGTTGGTCGTAAACATGGTTGGTGGTCGTCACTTTCTCAACGGGTTACCAGAAAAACTCGGACTATGCAACGTTGCTTGCGGTGCTACGGGCTAGCCCGGCACAGACGGAAGGTGACGGGGTGAGCTGTGAACGAGCTGTGAGTTAGCCGTTAGCCGTGGAATGACAGATGACGGAGTTTGACGGATTTCATCCGAGAAAGGAGATGTGTCTGGCAACTAGTTGGTTTGGTTTGTGAAGTTTGTTGGGTGGCTTGGTCCAGTCGAACCAGTTGGTTCTGACCATGTCAACGCCATGGCCCGGAAGTTCGGCTGGTTAGGGACGCACCACGAAGCCCCAAGGCAAGGGTTACGGCGCCTCGGCAGCTGGAAGACGGGCCTTGATCTGACAACGAATTCCAAAACCTGGTTCGGTTTGCCGCATAGAATCCTCGGTGAGCCCAACACTGTACAGATTTCAAACTACTACACTCAGCCCTTTGATATCTTTCGCATAGGGAACATATGATTGGGCTAAATGAACATGGAAATACGGTAATAACAATCTTCCATGATCCACAAAATTACGATAAAAAATCTGTTATGGGTTTGATAGTGCACATGGACTTATTTCTATGGGCAGGATTTGGAACGGCGCTAGACACATCAACTCGGAGACTATTGCTGCATGGCAGCAACTTCGTTTCTAAGCGTCTCTAATTCCAAGACAAGCTTCATCATGGAGGGACGAGAGGCGAGTGAATCAGCGGTGCTGGAGAGGGCGAGGTGGAGCAGGCGCAGTGCTGCGCGTTGAGGCATGGCCAGGCGCGTATCAACCACTCCCAAGAGGTCTGTGCTTGCTCGTAGCTGTGGTGGTGGATGCAGGTGCAAGGGGGGAAGGATGGGAGGCAGGGAGGGAGGGATGGGCGGCAGGGAGGGAGGGATGGGCGGCAGGGAGGGAGGGAGGAGTGGGAAGCAGGGAGGGAAAGAGGAGTGGAAAGCAAGGAGCGAGAGTGGATGATCATGTTTCACAGGCCTACACTTGAGAGCAATTGGAAGACTTGTGGGATCTGGTGTGTGGTGGAGGTGGGAGTGACAAGGAAGGAATGTGGTATGCTTGTGAACGTGCATGTCGGTGTGAGTGCACAATTTCAGGAGTAAGAGGGGGGTGGGGATGAGGGGGAAGAGTGAAGGAGGAGGAGGAGCAGCAGGAGATTCAATGGCCTGGCATCTGAAAATCGACCAGCTGCGCGCCCACCTTTCAAAAGGCATAGCTCTGGACGTATAGAGAAACTTCTGAGGACTTTTGAGGCGCCTCGAAATGAGCGGCTATTTTTTGAAATCATTTTTTGAAACAAGAGGGAAAGAGGGAGTGGGGGCAAAGGAAGTGCAGGCAGAGGCATAGGCATAGGCAGAGGCAGAGGCAGAGGCAGAAGCAGGAGAGGTAGAGGGAGAGGCAGAGGGAGGAGAGGCAATAGAGGCAGAGGAGTGGAGCGTACATTGATGGGAATATCGGTGGAGGGGTCGTTCTGACTCGCACCGTGCTCATTGGGGTGCAACTGCTGGGAGACCTGCGCGGATGGATGGATGGATGCATGGATGGATGCATGGATGTATGGATGGATGGATGGATGCATGGATGGATGCATGGATGGATGGATGGATGGGTGGGTGGGTTCATGGATGGATGGATGGATGGATGGATGGATGGATGGATGGATGGATGGATGGATGGATGGATGGATGGATGGATGGATGGATGGATGGATGGATGGATGGATGGATGGATGGATGGATGGATGGATGGATGGATGGATGGATGGATGGATGGATGGATGGATGGATGGATGGATGGATGGATGGATGGATGGATGCATTGCATGGATGGATGGATGGATGCATTGCATGGATGGATGGATGGATGCATTGCATGGATGGTTGGATGAATGGATGCATGGATGGATGCAGAGCCGTTGTGCATGGTCCAGAGGGATGGAGAAGGTTGATTCCCAGTGGAGCAGTGCATAAGACGAGGGAGAGTGCTTGGGGAGGTAAGCATGCAAGCCACTGAGAATGAAGGAGCTGAGCGTGAAAGGGTTCACTGGTGTACAAACGCGTGAGGAAAGGTGGTTGCGAAGGTTGAGAAGATTGAGAAGGTTGAGAAGATTGAGAAGATCGAGAAGATTGAGAAGATCGAGAAGATCGAGAAGATTGAGAAGATTGAGAAGATTGAGAAGATCGAGAAGATCGAGAAGATTGAGAAGATTGAGAAGATTGAGAAGATTGAGAAGGTTGAGAAGGTTGAGAAGGTTGAGAAGATCGAGAAGATCCAGAAGATCGAGAAGATCGAGAAGATCGAGAAGATCGAGAAGATCGAGAAGATCGAGAAGATCGAGAAGATTGAGAAGATTGAGAAGATTGAGAAGATTGAGAAGATTGAGAAGATTGAGAAGATTGAGAAGATCGAGAAGATCGAGAAGATCGAGAAGATTGAGAAGATTGAGAAGATTGAGAAGATTGAGAAAATTGAGTCTCCAGGGAACAGCGCATGGAGAGTGCCCGGCGAGGAAAGAAGTCAAGGAGCTGAGAATGAGGTAGAAAAAGAGGTGAAAGTATGACCTGGAATAAAGTAGTAAATGAGGGAGAAAGGCGAGTAGTAAGAGAGGAGGCAAGGCCACCCACCCAGTCGCGGAAGTGAACGGGGCGGTTGTTGAAACATTTGTTATGAGAGGTCTCAAAACAGATTGATTATTGCGTGAGTGGTAAAGGAGCAGGCCACCTACCCAGTCTCGGAGGTGAATGGGGCAGTTGTTGAAACATTTGTTATGAGAGGTCTCAAAACAGATTGATTATTGCGTGAGTGGTAAAGGAGCAGGCCACCCACCCAGTCGCGGAGGTGAATGGGGCAGTTGAAACATTTGTTATGAGAGGTCTCAAAACAGATTGATTATTGCGTGAGTGGTAAAGGAGCAGGCCACCCACCCAGTCTCGAAGGTGAACGGGGCGGTTGTTGACCGGAAAGACGGCCCTCCTGCTCGTGAGGAGCTCGAGAATCAGAACGCCAAAGCTGCGTGCATGCCATGTAAGCAAGGGTGTGGGAGGAGAGGAGAAATGGGCGTGGACAGAGGCAACTTGTACGACCTCTCAAAAACCCAAGAGAATGCCCTCTTGCTCGTGAGAGCTCCAGAATCAGAACGCCAAAGCTGCGTGCAGAGCATGGAAGCAAGGGTGTGGGAGGAGGCAGGGGCATGGGAGGAGGCAGGGGCATGGGAGGAGGCAAACTTCGAGGCTCTCAAAAGTCGAATCAGAATGGCAAAGCTGCATGCCGGGAAGAAGCAAGGGCATGGAAGCAAGGGCATGGAAGCAAGGGCATGGAAGCAAGGGCATGGAAGCAAGGGCATGGAAGCAAGGGCATGGAAGCAAGGGCATGGAAGCAAGGGCATGGAAGAAAGGGCATGGAAGCAAGGGCATGGAAGCAAGGGCATGGAAGCAAGGGCATGGAAGCAAGGGCATGGAAGCAAGGGCATGGAAGAAAGGGCATGGAAGCAAGGGCATGGAAGCAAGGGCATGGAAGCAAGGGCATGGAAGCAAGGGCATGGAAGCAAGGGCATGGAAGCAAGGGCATGGAAGCAAGGGCATGGAAGCAAGGGCATGGAAGCAAGGGCATGGAAGCAAGGGCATGGAAGCAAGGGCATGGAAGCAAGGGCATGGAAGCAAGGGCATGGAAGCAAGGGCATGGAAGCAAGGGCATGGAAGCAAGGGCATGGAAGCAAGGGCATGGAAGCAAGGGCATGGAAGCAAGGGCATGGAAGCAAGGGCATGGAAGCAAGGGCATGGAAGCAAGGGCATGGAAGCAAGGGCATGGAAGCAAGGGTTTGGCAGGGGGCCATGCACACATTGTCTGCTCTGCTCTGTAGTGGTGCCTTTGCGAGTCTGAACTTGGATGATTTTTACAAAGCCCGGAGTGCCCATGCACTCCCATGCAGGACAATCCCCCGCGTGCACCACCCTGCACCGCAATGGATTGCCCTGAGCCACACTAAACCGCTCTGAACCGCCCAGTACCTGTACACATCAGATGTGGTGGTGGCCTTGTGGGTCTGAGCGTAGGTGGGGTCCACATAGCCCGGTTGCCCATCACTCCCACGCGCACTCTCACAGGACAATACCCGGCTTGCACCGCACTGCACCACAATGCATACCCTGCACTGCACCTGCACTGCACTGCACCGCTCTGTACCTGTACACATCGGCTGCTGTGGTGGCCTTGCGGGTCTGAGCGTAGATGGGATCCACATAGCCTGGTGTGCCCATCACCCGCGTTGACTTGACCGTGCTGCTCTCACTCATCCGCAGCAGCCCAAAGTCTGACAGCTTCGCCTGCCATGACGAGGAGGGTGGTGGGGAGGACATGTGAGAGGCGTTGACTTTTGTGGCCTCCTGTTGACTTGTGTTGACTTCATTTTGCTGCTTTCACTCATCCTCAGAAACAGCCCAAAGTCTGACAGATTCGCCTGCCATGACAAGGAAGTGCATGACATGGACATGTGGGAGGCGTTGACCTTCATGGCCTCCTGTTGACTTGCATTGACTTGACCGTGCTTCTCTCTCACTCATCCTTAGCAGCAGCACTCCAAAGTCTGACAGCTTCGCCTGAAGAGTTTGGCAGATGCAAGGTGAATCAGACAACTGGGAGAAGTTATGATGACCTGATTTCGCTGCACGTACGGTTCTTCACCAGCAATATTGTATTCCGATTAGACGTCTCAAACTCAGCTTTTATCACGTGGTTTTGAGACGTCTCAAAACTCGGCTCTTCACCAGCAATATTGTATTCCGATTAGGCAAGAGCACTACTTGAGACATTCTGGAAACAAAGAACCCACGTGTATGCTGCCAGCACAGGACAGCTCCCACGTGCATGCTGCTGCCAGCACAGGACAGCTCCCACGTGCATGCTGCATTTAAGACGAATTTCGAGGCGCCCTCAGGGTCAGCACACCCCACCTCCCACCTGCATGCTCTTATCCAGCAGGATGTTCCCCGGCTTGATGTCTCGATGCACGATGTCGAATCCATGCAGGTACGCCAGCCCCTGTGCCACCGACAGCAGCGTGTCCAGCAGCTGAACCGCTGTCAGGTGCTTGCCGCCTAGTGGGTTTGGGGAGGAGGAAGGGGAACGAGCAGGGAGAAAGGAGGGTGAATTGAGCAGCTTTGAGGAGAGGTGCGAGAGACATGCAGGTACGCCAGCCCCTGTGGCACTGACAGCAGTGTGTCAAGGAGCTGGACTGCTGTCAAGTGCTTGCCGCCTGGTGGTGGTGGGGGAATGGACACGAGCAGGGTAAAGCAGGGTGAGACGAGCATTCTTCAAGGCACATGCCACAGCCTTGCAGGTACGCCAGCCCCTGTGGCACCAACAGCAGCGTGTCCAGCAGCTGAATGGTTGTCAGGTGCTTTCTTGGCCCTTGGTGATGTTGCAAGGACGGCGGGGTACAATGTTATATTCTTCACACATTCAAGCATGGTGAAAAGACAGTCACAGCCACCCTCTATCTATGATCTCATTCTTCACCTGCTTTGGTCCACTGAGACAGGTCACCATTCTCCATCAACTCGTACGTCACAATTTTCTCCACGCGCTGGGTGCGCGGGTTGTACTTACTCCCTCCCCTCCCCCCGTTCACTCATACCTGGTTTGGTCCACTGGGACAGGTCGCCATTATCCATGAACTCATAGATCACAATCTGCTCCATGCGCTGGGTGCGCGGGTTGTAGTCGTGGCAGAACCCCAGCAGCCGCACCAGGCACGGATGATTCTTGCTCGCCATGTGCTCAATCTGTGAAGAGGGGGAAGGGGGGAGGGGGGAGGGGAGGCGGGACGGGGAGAGAGAGGGAGGGTGATTGGCAAGACCGGGACAGAGAAGAGAATGGGACGCACGGGTGGTGCGTGCGCGCCATGTGCTCCATCTGCCAGGGGGGGGAAGGGAGAAGGGGCCCCCCGACTGTGTCCTCTCGGAAGAGGTTGGTGTGCAGCGCCCTCTCGGAAGAGGTTGGTGTGCAGCGCCCTCTCGGAAGAGGTTGGTGTGCAGCGCCATCTCGGAAGAGGTTGGTGTGCAGCGCCCTCTTTGCTTCACTTCCGAGAACACACTTGGGTCGCCAACCTCTTTCAGGAACAAGTCGTTTGTCAGCACTCTCGCCCGCTTCACTGCCCAGAACACGGTTGGGTCGTACGGCGACGCCCCTTCGAAAACATCCCCAAGGCCCCCGTTTCCCAAGGCCCCCGTTTCCCAAGGCCCCCGTTTCCAAAGCCCCCGAACACGCTGGGGTTGGGATGGCAATCCCCCCACCCTTTTACCATACGCATGCACGCATATCAGATCTCACCTCTTTAAGGAAGTCGTTTGTAAGTACACGAGCTCGCTTCACCGCCCAGAAGACAGTGGGGTCGTACGGCGATGCCCCTCTGAACACGTCTCCAAAGCCCCCCGTGCCGATGCGGTTCCGCGACGACCAGTCCGCTGTGGCCCGCCGCATGTCCTCTATCGAGTACTGCTGGCAGTTGATGGGCTCCTCTCCCTCCCCAACAGCGACCGTGAAGGGTGATGGGCCTGCAAGGGGTGGGGGCGGGTACAGGGGAGTGGAAGTCAGGGATACCGGGCGGTGGGATGCGGTTCCGCGAGGGCCAGTCCGCCAATACTGCTGCAATCGATTGGCTCTTCGCCTTCCCCAACAGCAACCGTGAAGGGTGATGGCCTGCAAGGGGTGGGGGTGGGTACAGACGGGTGGAAACAGGGACATGGGAGGTGGGATGCGATTACGCGCGATGACCAGTCCGCTGTGGCTCGGCGCATGTCCCCTGTGGAATACTGCTGGCAGTCAATGGGCTCCTCTCCCTCTCCAGCAGCCACTGTGAGGGTGACGGGCCTGTGAGGGGCGGGTGGGTACATGGGATGGGAAATGGGGAGGTGAGACTCGAGGCTGGTAACTTTCTTACGGCCCTTACACACAACAGACATTAGAAAGGGAGGAGGAGCATTCATGTAGAGAGGAAAATTTTTTCTTGCTTACTCAGCATGTTGTTTTCACTCCGTCATGACGATCGCACACAGACGCATGCACGCACACACGCACGCACGCATGCATGCACGCAACCACACATGCACGCATGCACGCATGCATGCACGCAACCACACATGCACGCATGCACGCACACACGCACACACACATGCATTTCCCGCCTTTTCCACCTCCACAGCACCGCCCACAGTAGCAGCAGCAGCGGCAGCAGCAGCAGCACGTGCACACATGCACACACACACACACGCATGCACACGCACGCACGCATGCACACACACACACGCATGCACACACACACACGCATGCACACACACGCACGCATGCACACATGCGCATATGCACATATGCACACACATAGTGCCTTCCCACACACACGCACCCACCTTGCTTCTCTACCTGATCCCGTCGTTTCCACCTCCACATCACAGCCCACACCAGCAGCGGCAGCGGCAGCGGCAGCGGCAGCAGCAGCAGCAGCAGCACACACATGCAAATGCGTGAAAATGCGAGCGTTGTGCTTACCTACCAGCACAAACACCCACCGTGCTTCTCCCCCTGCTCCCGTCTTCTCCACCACCACAGCACCGCCCACAGCAGCAGGAGCAGCAGCACGGCCACTGCCACAGCCACCCCAACTATGAGCCCGGTGGAAGAAGAGGAGGAGGAGCCTGAGGGTTGTGAGGGGTCGGTGGGCGCGGGAGCGGCTGCAGGGGGACGGTACAGAAGGAGATGAGATGGCAAAGGGGAGGAGAGAAGTGGAGTGAAGATGGGGAAAGAACCAGGGCAGCAAAAACAGCATCAACAGCAGCCCTCCCAGCAGCAGTAGCCTCTGCAGAAGCAGAGGCAGCACTGCCACAGCCACCCCAGTGATGAGATCCGTAGAGGGAGAGGGGTAGCTGGAATCCCCTGAGGTCTGTGCCGGGCCCGAAGGGGCTGCAGGGGCGGACACAGGAGGACGTGGGGAGGACAAGGGGACAAAGGGACAAGGACAAGGGGACAAAGGGAGGAGAGCTGTAGAGTGACGATGGGGAAAGAAGCACAGCAGGATCAGAAGCAGCAACTCTCGCAGCAGCAGCAGCAGCAGCAGCAGCAGCAGCAGCAGCAGATGCAGCAGTGGCACTGCCACAGCAATGATGAGACGCGTCGAGGGAGAGGAGGACCTGGCGCCCCCTGAGCGCTCGAGGGGCTGGAGGGGCTGGAGGGGAGGATCTCGAATCGCCTGGGGGTAGTGAAAGTGAGCGGAGCAGCAGGAGGGGAGGGCGCCGGAGGACATGGGGGGACAAGGGGACGAGAGACAAGGAGAGGAGAGCAGTGGAGTGAAGATGGGGAAAGGTGAGGGAGAGGAGCAGGAGGGAGTAGAAGGGAAAAAGGGAGGCATGGTGGCGAGATTGCACGAATGCGGCACCTCGGGGGAGGCAGGGTGGCGGATGGGAGGCAGGGTGGCGGATGGGAGGCAGGGTGGCGGATGGGAGGCAGGGTGGCGGATGGGAGGCAGGGTGGCGGATGGGAGTTGATGGAAGGCTCACCTGGGAGGGCAGCGTGGAGCCTCACCTGGGAGGCACGTGGAGCAGAGGTCGGGGCACTCCCGGCACAAGGCTGAGTTGCGGGAGACTGTTGAGGGGCTGACCAGCGCGCACACACTGCTGCTGCTGTCGGTGGTGCTGTTGCATGCCATGCTGCTGCTCTTCATGCTGCAAGAGAGACGATGGGCGGGTGGGACGAGCAAGAGGACACGGGAAATGAATAATGGGGGGAAATAGTATAGATGGAGAAGTGATGCAGCGAGTTTTGAGAGGTCTCAAAAATCGTGGAAATGAGTATGGAGGGGAATAGTATAGATGGAGAAATGATGCAGCGGCTGGCATGCGAGGAAGTGAGAAAGTGAGCCTTTAATAATGTGAGGAAGTAAGAAATGAAGCGACTGACAATGCGAGGAAGAGAGTAAGAAAGCAACTGACAACATGAGGAGGAAGAAAGTGACGTTTTGAGTCAGCGTGTGGAAATGGGAAGGTAAGCAACTGACAAGGTGAGGAAATCAGAGAGGTTTCCGAGAAAAGCAGGTACTGAGCTGCTGATTGCCGTGTTGCTGATGTCACTGGAATGGAGATTGGGAGGGAGGGAGGATGGTGGGTGGGAAAGAACAATTGCTGCTTGAAAAATGAAGAGCAACGAAGGAGGGGAGGGCGAGGAACGAAGTGATAAGCTGGAAGAGAGTGGAACGGGTCATTAGCTGATCATGGTACAGTCACAACACAGGATGGCCCGTTGTACACGTCACAACACAGGATGGTCCGTTCTACACGTCACAACACAGGATGGTCCGTTCTACACGTCACAACACAGGATGGTCCGTTCTACACGTCACAACACAGGATGGTCCGTTCTACACGTCACAACACAGGATGGTCCGTTCTACACGTCACAACACAGGATGGTCCGTTCTACACGTCACAACACAGGATGGTCCGTTCTACACGTCACAACACAGGATGGTCCGTTCTACACGTCACAACACAGGATGGTCCGTTCTACACGTCACAACACAGGATGGTCCGTTCTACCAGGCGAGATGGGATGCGTCTCACCATTGTTGATTGCATGCCTCACACCACCCTGCATGCCTCACACCACCCTGCATGCCTCACACCACCCTGCATGCCTCACACCACCCTGCATGCCTCACACCACCCTGCATGCCTCACACCACCCTGCATGCCTCACACCACCCTGCATGCCTCACACCACCCTGCATGCCTCACACCACCCTGCATGCCTCACACCACCCTGCATGCCTCACACCACCCTGCATGCCTCACACCACCCTGCATGCCTCACACCACCCTGCATGCCTCACACCACCCTGCATGCCTCACACCACCCTGCATGCCTCACACCACCCTGCATGCCTCACACCACCCTGCATGCCTCACACCACCCTGCATGCCTCACACCACCCTGCATGCCTCACACCACCCTGCATGCCTCACACCACCCTGCATGCCTCACACCACCCTGCATGCCTCACACCACCCTGCATGCCTCACACCACCCTGCATGCCTCACACCACCCTGCATGCCTCACACCACCCTGCATGCCTCACACCACCCTGCATGCCTGCCCGCACCGCACAGCTTACAGCATGGTGAGTTGAGCAAGACGGCTCAAGCTGAGAGGCAGGGTGCCATTGAGCTGAGTTGACCCCAGCTTGCTGGTGGTGGCAGGGCGTGGAGGGTGAAAGAGCATGGAGGGTGAAAGAGCATGGAAGGCAAATATGTATCCAAGGGAAAAGAGCAAGGTGGTTCTGAGCATCCTCAAAAAAGCCCTCAGGGTGAGCGGTAGCGAGCCATTAGGCTGAATTTACCCCAGCTTTCTGGTGACACGGAGTGGAGAGCAAACCACTCTTGCTTTAACAAGTGGGTTGTGAGGCTAACATGATGCTGCAACCGATGCTGCTCTCTGTTGTGAGGCTAACATGATAACGAAAAAGGCGGAAAGCGGTGATAATGCAGAAACAAGAGAACTGGAAGGAGAATGGGAAGGGTTGAGAACCGATGTGTGTGAGACCCTTCCACCTACTCACAGAGACAGCTGGGCAGTATGGCTGCCCAATGCCTCCGAACTAACTCTTACGTCAACAAAAAAATCCAGCTGTGCGGAGAAAAGACTTGTTGCGTGGACTCAAATGAGCCACCTGGTCACTCACAGAGGCTCTAGGGGCGTGAGGAGGTGGGGTTGCCTAGTATGTAAACGCAGTAATTGACATTGTGCGTGGACTCAGAACAAGGCACGTGGTCACTGACAGAGACTCCAGGGACGTGAGGTTGCCTATTGCCTCTGGAATGCTGCCAACCAATCCCTCGTTCCCACCCAAGCTTCTGCGCACGGCTCGTAGAGGAAGGAAGGACAACGGGGGCGGGGGAAGAATATAAAGAGGGAAGACGGAGAGATCAGAAATGAAGGGAACGAGTTGAGGAAAGTAAAAGAAAAAACACTAGAGGCACAGGGGAATGATACGGAGATGGCAGAAGCAGGCGAGAACCAATAAGCACGTCCCCACAACCCTAGCTACAGCTGGCACTTGAAATCAAGTTTGAAGGTTTCAAGGTTTATGGAAGGAGAGAGGAGCAAGGGGGGGGCGCACAAGGTGGTGAGGTTGGTGAGAGTGGCGATCTGAGGCGGAATGGGCCCTGCGAAGCCGTTGCTGCTGAGGTCCCTGGTCATGCAGTGAGGGCATGGGGGAAGGTGCGAATATGAGATATCTAAAGAATGACCATGTGAAGCAGTTGCTGCTCATATCCCTGCTCACGAGGTGCAGGCATGAGGGAGGTGCGGACATGGGGGGGGGGGGATGTGCGGGCATGGGGGGAGGTGCAGGCACGGGGGGAGGCACGGGGGGAGGCACGGGCATGTGGGGGGTGCGGGCATGTGGGGGGTGCGGGCATGTGTGGGGTGCGGGCATGTGGGGGGTGCAGGCATGTGTGGGAGGTGTGGGCATGAGATTCTGAGACGATTCCCCTGAAGCGGTTGCTACTCGGAGTCCCGAATCCCGCATTGCAGGCATGGGGGCGGTAAGGCGGACGGGTGGGAGAAGGGGAGACCTCGCAGATGCCACCCGGTGAAGCTGGACGGTGGGACGATATTTCAGTCAGCTCCAACATCGTCTCATCTCGTGCGGGGGAAGGGTCAGAGGGGAGAGTTAGCGGATTCTAACTGGTGAAACTGAGAGGTGGACAGCGGGGAGCAGGGCAAGGAAAGAAGCGACCAGCGGGGGGCAGGGCAAGGAAAGAAGCGGCCAGCGGGGAGCAGGGCAAGGAAAGAAGCGACCAGCGGGGGGCAGGGCAAGGAAAGAAGCGACCAGCGGGGAGCAGGGCAAGGAAAGAAGCGACCAGCGGGGGGCAGGGCAAGGAAAGAAGCGACCAGCGGGGAGCAGGGCAAGGAAAGAAGCGACCAGCGGGGAGCAGGGCAAGGAAAGAAGCGAGCATGTAAAGAATAGAATGAGAGAGAGTGGACACTTTGCCGTGTCTACGGCCTCAGTTATTAAGGTGGGCACCAGCGGTTTCTCACACGAGGGAGAGGAGCTTGGCTTGGTCGATGAAAGGGGGAATGGGGCCCGATAATTGATTGTGGTGCAGAGAGCTGATGATAGGTTGAGGGTGAGAGAGAGGGGTTGAGACGGAGAAAATGCGAGGAGGATGAGGGAGGAGTGTAGTTGACAGAGAGAGGATGGAAGAGGAGGGATTGGAAGGATGAGAGGTAGGAGGGAGCGGAGGGAAGGAGGAGGTGAAATCGAGTGACAGTAAAAAGCATGATGTGTCACACGCACCCTGAGGTTTGTTGAAGGTAGCATGATGCTCACATGCAGGCACCTTCCCTTTACCGAAACACAGTGCTTGAAAGTCCATGCTGCAAAGTAGTGATGTCCCTTCAGCAATTGGAGAATCGGAGGTTCATGAGGCTGCTGAAGCTGCTGGTGCCATTGTAACGAGGAGGTTTTTGAGTCTACTCAAGAGTCACATTTGGCATTCAAGTGGCGTTCAGTCAGACTCACAGGTTCTGAGGTTCGATCGCAGGTTCACAAGGTTGCCGAAGCTGCTGGCGTCATTGTATCAAGGTGACTTTTGAGTCGAGTCAGGAGTCATATTTAGCATTCGAGTGATGTCCCTTTGGACTTACAGCGATCGCAGGTTCACAAGGTTGCTGAAGCTGCTGGGAATGGTTCCGTCAAACGAGTTGCTGCTTAAGTCTCTGCAGCCCCACATGGCATGGCATGGCGCATATGACAGACAGTTACTCAGGCATTTTTTTGAACGTCTTCGAGGTCAAGTTCCCGAAGGCACTCGTCGCATGGCGCATGTCATACATTCAAGCATTGCATTGCATTGCAGCACTCAAATACCGGTAATTTGAGTGCCAGCAGCTGTATGCTATGTGCGTCGCATGCGGCGTTTCTATCTCACCATGCTCTTGGTGTGCAATTGTTAATGATATATGGTGTAGAGAGAGGGTAGATAATGATGCATCCTGCATGGTGCATGGCGCATGCTGCATAGTGCATGGGAAATGTATGCGTGGTGCATGGTGCATGATGCATGGCGCATGGCGCATGGGGCATGGGGCATGGTGCATGGCGCATGGTGCATGGGGCATGGCGCATGGTGCATGGCGCATGGCGCATGGGGCATGGGGCATGGTGCATGGTGCATGGCGCATGGTGCATGGGGCATGGCGCATGGTGCTTGGCGCAAGGCGCATGGGGCATGGCGCATGGTGCATGGGGCATGGCGCATGGTGCATGGGGCATGGCGCATGGGGCATGGGGCATGGTGCATGGGGCATGGTGCATGGGGCATGGGGCATGGTGCATGGGGCATGGTGCATGGTGCATGGCGCATGGTGCATGGGGCATGGCGCATGGTGCTTGGCGCAAGGCGCATGGGGCATGGCGCATGGTGCATGGGGCATGGCGCATGGTGCATGGGGCATGGCGCATGGGGCATGGGGCATGGTGCATGGGGCATGGCGCATGGGGCATGGGGCATGGGGCATGGCGCATGGGGCATGGCGCATGGTGCATGGGGCATGGCGCATGGTGCATGGGGCATGGTGCATGGTGCATGGCGCATGGTGCATGGGGCATGGCGCATGGTGCTTGGCGCAAGGCGCATGGGGCATGGCGCATGGTGCATGGGGCATGGCGCATGGTGCATGGGGCGTGGCGCATGGGGCATGGGGCATGGTGCATGGGGTATGGTGCATGGGGCATGGCGCATGGGGCATGGGGCATGGGGCATGGCGCATGGGGCATGGCGCATGGTGCATGGGGCATGGCGCATGGTGCATGGGGCATGGCGCATGGGGCATGGGGCATGGTGCATGCATGGGGCATGGTGCATGGGGCATGGGGCATGGTGCATGGGGCATGGTGCATGGTGCATGGCGCATGGTGCATGGGGCATGGCGCATGGGGCTTGGCGCAAGGCGCATGGGGCATGGCGCATGGTGCATGGGGCATGGCGCATGGGGCATGGGGCATGGTGCATGGGGCACGGGGCATGGGGCATGGCGCATGGGGCATGGGGCATGGGGCATGGGGCATGGCGTACAGGTATTGAAGGTTGAGCAGCGCCCCAAGGAAGTCAGGAAGGGGGCCGGAGAGCTGGTTGGAGCTCAAGTCCCTGGCGGCACAGAGAAAGACGAGATTTTTGTTTTAGTAGACGGAAGAAAAGCCCCTGACCATAAAGCCCCTGACCATAAAGCCCCTGACCATAAAGCCCCTGACCATAAAGCCCCTGACCATAAAGCCCCTGACCATAAAGCCCCTGACCATAAAGCCCCTGACCATAAAGCCCCTGACCATAAAGCCCCTGACCATAAAGCCCCTGACCATAAAGCCCCTGACCATAAAGCCCCTGACCATAAAGCCCCTGACCATAAAGCCCCTGACCATAAAGCCCCTGACCATAAAGCCCGTGACCATAAAGCCCGTGACCATAAAGCCCGTGACCATAAAGAGGGACGGGAAGGGAAAAACAGCGGTGGAAGTGAAGTGCGTGGGAGGGAGTGGGAGAGATAGAGAGAGAGGCTAATCAGCGGGCATGATGTGAGGCATGGCGTGTGAGAGGCTTACAATACATGGCAAACGGAGGATTCAGTAGTCATGGTATGGCATGCGTGACTAAGGGTTTCAAAGACGTCTGTCTCGAAAGGCTCACAGGCGTGCGAGGTAGGTCAAGTGGCTCACAGGCGTGTGAGATAGGTCAAGAGGCTTATGGCGGATGGGATACCTCCACTCAGCTGCTGCGATGGGAGAGACCTGCACGGTGGCATGGTGGCATGGTTGCATGATGGGGGGATGGTGGGATATGATGATGGGGTGGTGACGTCATGGAGGGGTATCAAGGAAGTGGCATCAGGTTCTGCACTCACATGCGCACATTTGACGGCACTCACACACATGCCGTACTCACATTCACGTTGCACTCACAGTGATGCACGACACTTTCACATGAATCTACGTCACACTAACATGAATCCACGTCACTCTCATACACCCACCTGAATCCACGTCACTCACATGGAAGAAACTCGCCCCGACACGTCCGTGCAGGTCAGACCCCACGCGGTCGCACACAACCCGTACTTCTGCCACCCCGCAAACTGCTTGCCCCACGCGCCCATTATCTCTGCCAGCCACTTGGCTGGTGTGCGTGTGAAAAGAGCAGGGAAAACGAGTAGAATGCCTCAAGATGAAGGGGGGTGCACTGCACACTACATGAAGCGGCACCGCCACTAGTACTGCTCAATAGCCACCCCGCGAACTGCTTGCCCCACGCGCCCATAATCTCTGCCAGCCACTTGGCTGAGGACGGAAAGAACGGAACAAAGAAGCATATCAAGATGAAGGGGGGTGTACACTCAATGCATGAATCGGCACAGGCACAGTACTGCTCAAGTCACCCTGCGAGCTGCTTGCCCCACGCACCCATTATCTCCACCAGCCACTTGACGGGCGAGGAATCGCATGTTTCAAAATGGAAGCGGGAGGGCGAGGAGTTATGAACAGAGTTGAAATGGGGGGGTAGTACACAGTCGTGCATGAAGCAGCGCTACTAATACACTCACTGCGAAGCTCCATAAAGACTTCCGAGTCCACTTAATATCTACCCTTTCTGCGAGTCCACTTAATATCTACCCTTTCTGCGCGCTCTGTTGTGAGCTGTTGATCGCAGCGGGTTAAAACCCGCGGGCCAAGAACTTCAACCTTAGGAAGCTTGGTTGGAGCGAGCAACACAATTGGCCAAGATTTTGGGTGCGAGGGCCAAACTCAACCAAGGTTAGGAAGGTTAAGGCAATTTGGGCCTTCTTGGCCCTCCGGGTTGAAAGGAGGAAACCTCCCGATAAACGGCCCGGGGGATGCCGACCTCTCAAGCGGTCCCTCCTAATGAACTGTTCCTTCTGAGGCGCCTCGAAGCTGAAATTCCGCGTCTCTCAATCCGCCTGCTTTCCACCACCGAAACCCCTCCCTGTCTTCCTTCCCCCCGCTCCCCTTCCCCTCCCCTTCCCACACTTCCTCCCAAAAACCCTTCCGCCGAAGCCGCCATCATCTAAACACCCTCCTCCCGCGGTCAAGGCGCGTCCCTCACCATTGGCTTCATGAATCCACGCCGAATGACTTTTGAGTCGACTCAAAGTCACCAAACCGTTCTTCCCTTTTGAGTCGACTCAAAGTCACCAAACCGTTCCTCCCTTTTGAGTCGACTCAAAGTCACCGAACCGTTCCTCCCTTTTGAGTCGACTCAAAGTCACCAAACCGTTCTTCCCTTTTGAGTCGACTCAAAGTCACCAAACCGTTCCTCCCTTTTGAGTCGACTCAAAGTCACCAAACCGTTCCTCCTTTTTGAGTCGACTCAAAGTCACCAAACCGTTCCTCCCGAGCCGCCATCATCATCTCAACTCACTATCACGCGGTCAATCCACAGCATCACTCACCATCGGCTTCGTGAATCCACGCCGAATCCGCAGCTCTGGGTTGAAGCGCGAGAAGCGCAGCGAGTAGCAGCACGGCTGACATTCGCCGCGCGTCACGAGCGAGGAGGACGGCGGCGCGGGCGCGTCGCCGAGGAGGCACGACGAGGGGGACGGCTGCTGACCGTGACGCGACGCCGCGCCGCCTCTCGCCGCTACATGACGCGACGCCGTGGAACGCGGCGTTGGTTCGCATTGACGGCATGGAGTGGGTTAAGCCGTTACAGTTGTGGAACGGTGGATTTGCTACTACGACAACCACCCACGGTATTAGGCCCCGCTACTCACTGGGTCAAAAAGCGGGTGCTCAAGAGGGGCAGCGCTGCGCTTCAAACCCTCCGTGGACTCAACAACTACACGTAGCACTACTCAGTACAGGCCGCAGTAAGATTGAAAGAGGAGAACTAAAGCAGTACGTTGCAATTTCCTTACGTCGTCAAACCGAACAAATCTTTCCAACGATAGATGATAAGTTCTGTAGGAAAGGATGTACAAGGCAATAGGGTCGCGATAAAGCTACTTATCGTCGCATTGCGTGGAAACGGTCTGCAGGCATGCGTGACTCCTACATCCAAGATATACCTCTTGCCTCTGGCTCCTGCGAGTGGGATGGAGTGGATTGCTGTCGAAATTATTGGAGGTGTGTGTGGCCAAGAAGCGGCTGTGCAGCACTTCGGAGGTAAAACGGAAGGGAAAGTATATCTGTAAGGAATTTTCTCGGCATTCCTTACGGAGCCGACTACATCGCGTACAGCAACAGCCGATTGTTCGCCCGTTACTGCTAACGGAACTTCGCCGACTTCGCGCGCACTGTTTTACCAAACCTCGCACTGCTGGCATGGCCGTATCGGCCTACGCTTCGGGACTAGCCCGAGCCTCGCTCCAGCGTAGCACTAGCAAGCTCGCACGCACCGCGTTACCGTTTTGCATGTTTCGCGTATAAATGTTCGCTCATGCCTTCGCTCACATTTTGTACTCGTTTGACACCTTAGTGCAATTCTCGCTACCTCGATTCATTGCACCCGTAACACTTGGTTATCAGAGCCCCTTTCTTTCGGACCGCGCATCTCCGCACACCAGGAAATCAACTTTTGATTTTTCACTCGAAGGGACTCACGCACCTTAGCCCCTAGGAGCCGCTGTCCTCGCGTTCTCTCGTAAACGCGTGCAGCCACGACTGCGCCTAGACTAAGACGAGCCGACGCCCTTCGTCATGGCCGAAAACATCGACGTCACCACTCTCACGCAGGAGCGTTTGAACGATCTGCTGCGACAACTGCACGAAAGCTCTGAGGAAATCGCGGCATTGACGGCAGAACGCTCATCACTGCAAAATGACCTCCTGAGAGCACAATCTCAAGCACCTGGCACTCCGATTCAACCCGCACCCTCAACATCACAACACGGGAGTGTGGGGCAACCCGCGAGCGCGGCCAGTGATGGCGTCGTCCGCCCCGACGGAGACGACGACCACGGCACGACACACCCCAGAGCGACGCCTGCGGCCCCAAGTCAGCCTCGCGTCACGATTTCGGACCAACCCACGATTCGGGACTGCCGTCACCGATGCCGCTGAAGCCGCAGCGCCCGCCATGCTTTGACCCGAGTCAACGGGGTGGTCCTACCGTTCAGGCGTGGTTATTCACAATGAATGTTTTCTTCGACGCCAACTACGTCTCGGAGGACTCGGCGAAGATTCGATACGCCATGTCGTTGCTGCGAGGTGTCATAACATATAGCTTACTTGTTTCTGTAGGCTATAGTGGGGTATCCCATAGGGGGTACAACACAATTAGGGTTTCCTATTTGTATTCACTTCACTTCATAGTCATTCATTCTCGTTCTTTGATTTCACATGGAATCAGAGCAGGTTCCCTCCTAGGGACTGCTTCTAGGGCCCACCAAACCGCGCCCCGAGGCGCGTTTTTTTTTAGCGACCCGTCGTGTCGCCCCTAGCGGCCCGTTGCGCCGCCCTTCCCCTAGCGGCTCCGCCGCCCTTCCCTAGCGGCCCCGCCGCCCTTCGATTGCGGCCCCGCCGCCCTCTGCTACGCGGCCCCGCCGCCGCCCTTCGATCGCGGCCCCGCCGCCCTCTGCTACGCGGCCCCGCCGCCCTCTGCCACGCGGCCCCGCCGCCCTCTGATACGCGGCCCCGCCGCCCTTCGATTGCGGCCCCGCCGCCCTCTGCTACGCGGCCCCGCCGCCCTCTGCTACGCGGCCCCGCCGCCCTCTGCTACGCGGCCCCGCCGCCCTCTGCTACGCGGCCCCGCCGCCCTCTGCTACGCGGCCCCGCCGCCCTCTACTACGCGGCCCCGCCGCCCTTCGATCGCGGCCCCGCCGCCCTCTGCTACGCGGCCCCGCCGCCCTCTGCTACGCGGCCCCGCCGCCCTCTTCGGTCGCGGCCCCGCCGCCCTCTGCTACGCGGCCCCGCCACCCTCTGCTACGCGGCACCGCCGCCCTCTGCTTCGCGGCCCCGCCGAGCCGCCCAGCATCAGCCGAGCCGCCCAGCAGCAGCCGAGCCGCCGCCGAGCCGCCGCCGCCTGAGCCGCCGCCCGGGCCACCTGAGCCGCCGCCCGTGCCGCCGCCGAGCCGCCGCTGAGCTGCGGCCGAGCCGCCGCCCGAGCAGCCCGAGCCGCTCGTGCCGCCCGAGCCGCCTGAGCCGCCCGAGACGCCCGAGCCGCCCGAGCCGCCCGAGCCGCCTGAGGAGCCGTGCTGCTGTTCCTGAGCTGTGTTCCTCTGCTGCTGACCTACCCGACTCTCCCAGCCCGGTGAGACTTTCAGCTGCTGCCATGGCCACCCCCAATGTTCTTACTTTTGACGCTGAGGGGAGGGCCATTGACTTTGCTGTCTGGATTGAAGACCTGCAGCTGTACTTACTGTGTGATGCGATAGATGAGGTCTCTCTCTTTGACTTTGTCTCCGGCGCTGTCCCTGCCCCACCTGCTGATGCTGACTCTGCCGTTCGCTCCAAGTGGGCGACCCGCGATGCTGCTGCACGTCTTGCTGTGCGTCGCCACCTCCCTTCCTCTGAGCGTGCCCACTTTAGTCAGTGCAAGACCGCTCAGGCCTTGTACGACGCTGTAGTTGCACGCTACTCCTCCCCTTCCTCCGCTACCCTTAGCCGCCTCATGCTACCGTTTCTCTTCCCTGACCTCGCTTCCTTTCCCACTGTCGCTGACCTCGTTACCCACCTCCGTGCTAGTGACACCCGCTACCGCGCTGCCCTTCCTGCTGAGTTCCGCGCTGCGAACCCTCCTCCCATGTACATCACTCTCTACTTTCTCGTCACCCGTCTCCCTGAGTCCCTTCGTGTCGTTAGGGACCAGTTTCTCTCTGTCTGTCCCACCACTCTCACTGTCGACCTCCTTGAGGAGTCCCTGCTAGCGGCTGAGAAGAGTATTGTCGCTGTAGGGGCCTCTCGGGGTGACCCTCGCACCCCCATCTTTGAGGGGTGTGGTCCTTCCCCCCTGCTGCCCTCTGTCGCCTCTGCCGCTGCGGCCGACCTCACTGGTTTTGAGTCGGTCGGCGCGACGTCTGCCCCCAGCGGCAGACGCCGCTCTGGCAAGGGCAAGGGGGGCAAGGGACCGGGTGGAGCTAGAGGGGGCGGTGGAGGAGGCGGTGGGGGTGGCGGGGGGAGTGGGGGTGGCGGTGGGGGTGGTGGCGGGAGTGGAGGTAC